GGCGTGTCCCCGCCGTGCGTGGCTCCGCTGGCGTGTCCTGGGGTGGGCGACTGCCGGGTGATGGGACTCGGGGTGTAAAAGCGGAGCGTCCCGGTTGTTGCGCGGCTCCTTTGCGGTGTTTCGGGGGGAGAGGATTGGGGGGGAGGGGGGTTGCTTTGCCCGGGGGCGGAGGTCTCCGGTGCCGGTGTCCCCCCGGAGGGGTGTTGGATCTCCCCGGGATGGAGCACCTCGGGGCTCACCACCTGCACCAAGGCCAAGCCGAACCCATCAGTTTCGGCATCGACCAGATCCTCAACACCTCGGAGCCGGGCAGTTGTATGGTTTCCCACCCGCGGCTTCAGGACACGGCGGATTACGGCTTGGGCTGCATCGTGGGCAGCGCCTATAACACGGTCACGGGTGGTTACGGGGCGAACGGCGGCGGCGGCGGCGGGGCGGCCGGTGCTTACACCGGTACCTCCTGCAGCATGGGCGGCCTGCCCGGCTCCTACAACGTGAACATGGCGGTGAGCATGAACGGCAACACCTTGAGCTCGGCCGGGGGGGTGATCCGCGTCCCGGCCCACCGCCCGGTAACCGGCGGAGTCCACCAACCCCTCTCCGCCGCCGTCCCGGCCGTGAACGGCATGAACAGTCTCACGGGGCTCACCTTCCCCTGGATGGAGAGCAACAGGCGATACACAAAAGACAGGTTCACAGGTGAGTGGGGCCACCGGGATGTCCTCCCCTTCCCAAAAATCCTTTTCCTCCCTTCTCCCGGCCCCGCCGCACGGCCTCGGAGCGGCTCCCGGTACCCGCCGGGGGAAAGCGGGATCCGGCCCCGGGTGGCGAGAACGGCCCGGATCGCCCCGGGAAGTGAGTCCCGGAGGAGGCCAAGAGCAAGAAGGGGCGGAAAACCAGGCGCAGTCAGTCCCCCCTAAATGCGTTGGGCTTGTTTTATTTGGTTTGGTTTTGTTTGATTGATTTTTCCCCCCTTTGGTTTATGTTGGGGGTGTGTAGATCTTTTTTATTATTTTTTTTGTTGGTTTTTTTTTTTTGGTTGACTTTTGTTTTGGTTGGTTTTGTTTTGTTTTTGTTTAGTTCTGGTTTGTTTTGTTTTATTTCGTTTCGTTTTGTTTTGATTTGTTTTGTTTGTTTTTGTTTTTTGTTTTTTGTTTTTTTTTCCCGGGAAAGGGACAAAACGGGACGGCGGCAAAATCCCCGCACCTCCCGCAAACTCCGGCCACGGCCGCCCGCTCCCCGCCGCCCTTCCCCGACATCCGGGGAAATTTTTCCTTTAAAAATAAATGGTTATTTGGGAGCCACGGCCCGGCCCGACGGGAAAGGGAGCCCCGGTAGCCCCGGCCCTCGCCCGCCCGGGAAGGCCGGCCCGTTGCCGGCCGCTCCTACGGCTGTTTTTCCCGTGCGTCCCGTAACCGGGCTGGTTTTTTCTCTGCGGGTTTCGATTGAGCCTTTTCCCCGCAAAAAGGGATTTTTTTTGCAGCCCCGAGCCGAACCGAGCCGGGGTTAGAGCCGCTTTCCCGACCCGCCGCCGTTTCCAGGTGGATCTGGGGTTCGTTTTTGGGGCTCTAACAAAGCGAAAAAAACTCGGAACAACGAAAAGATAAAAAGAAAAAAAATAAAAACGCCAAAAAAAGCGAAAAAAATGCAACGGGGAAAAAAATTAGCCCCCCATTCCTGCAGCGCCTGCCCCGGCCCCTCTCTTTCTCCGCGGCGGCGCAAACCCAGGCCCGATTTTTACAAGTTCACGTTTAATTTTGGCCCCGGTGGCGCTTGGCTCGGGCGGGGCCGCGGGGGAAGGAACGGGCCGTTCCCCCGGTGGGCACCGGGCTGATTTTTCCCGGAGCCCCTTCCCGGTTAGAGACACGGCGGCGAGTTTTCCCGATTTTTTTATTTTTTTTTCGTGGAGGGAAATTTTAAAAAAAGTAAAAAAAAAAAAAAAAAGAATTAAAAATAAAATAAAAACGAATCTCAACTCCCGTTTCCAACCCGGGAAGTTATTTTACGAAACGCCGGCGGATCCCGCTGTTTGGCCCAAACGAAATGAGAGCGAATCCCGTTGGCACGAAGCGCGGAGCCGCCGCCGGGACCCGCTGCCGTTACCGACCTGCCCCCGGGGCATTTCACCGGGCGAGGGGCCGCCTTCCCCCGCCGCCGGGACCCGCCGCGTCCCCGCAGCCCCGGGGCCGTCGGGGTGTCGTCGGGGAAAGCGGCGGCTTCGCAGCACCGGGGGGAGGGAGGGGGGGGGTTATCCCCAGCCCAACACCCCCCCGGTGAGCCGGAGCCCCTCTACTGATGTGTCGCTGCTTCTTTGCCTCTCATCCCGTCCCCCCCCCCGTCCTCCCGTGTCCCCCCCAGTGGCCCTCTCACCCTTCACTGTCACACGCCGTATAGGTCACCCCTACCAGAACCGCACCCCCCCCAAGAAGAAGAAGCCCCGCACCTCCTTCACCCGCCTCCAGATCTGCGAGCTGGAGAAACGCTTCCACCGGCAGAAGTACCTGGCGTCGGCCGAGCGAGCAGCCCTGGCCAAGGCCCTCAAGATGACGGACGCCCAGGTGAAGACCTGGTTCCAAAACCGACGCACCAAGTGGAGGTGAGGGGCTGGGGGGGCTCGGTGGACCCCCGGGGGGACAGGGGCTGGGGGAGCCCTGGGGGGGTAGGAGCAGCTGGCACCGGTTCTGCGGGGGGCATGGGTGGTTGTGCGTGGGGGGTGAGCACTGTGAGTGTGTGGGTGTGGGGTGTCACACGTGTGTGTGGGGTCACAGGTGTGTGTGTGTCGGGGGTCACACGTGTGTGTGGGGGGTCACAGGTGTGTGGGGGGGCCACAGGGGTGTGTGTGTGGGGTGTCACAACGTGTGTGGGGGGGTCACAACGTGTGTGTGAGGGTCACACGTGTATGTGTGTGTGAATGTGTACACGTGCATGGGAATGAGTGTGTATTCGTGTGTGAATGTGTGTGCACATGTGTGGGAGTGTGTGTACACACACAGGAATGTGTGTGTATGCACACATGGTGTATACACTTGTGTGTATGGATGCATGGGAATGAGTGTGCACATGGATGAGCATGTGTGTGTACACGTGTGTGAATGTGTACTCACACGGGAATGAGTGTGTACATGTGTGTGTGAGTGTGTGTATGCATGGGAATGTGTGTATACACGTGTGTGTGTGTATGCATGGGAATGTGTGTGTACACGTGGGTATGAATGTGTGTATGCACACATGGGAGTGAGTGTGTACACACGTGTGTTTATGCACGCATGGGAATGTTACACGTGTGTGTATGTGTACATATGCATGGGAACGTGTGTGTATGTGTGTGTGAGTGTGTGTACACATGCGTGTGAGTGTGTGTGCATGGAATGCCTGTAGATACAAACGTGCGTGTGTTTTGTGTGTGTAGGCCACGTGTGTGCATGCCTGCACACGTGCACGTCTGCGGGCTGTGTGAGTTTGTGTGCACTTGTGGGTGCGTGTGCCAGCGGGGCGTGCGTGTGCACATCCCCAGTGCACGTGAGCGCTTGTGTGTGAAGGCCGCGTGCCCGCGTGCCTGCCGGTGTGTGAGCGTGTGTGTGGGTGTGCGTGCAAACCAGGCGTCTGTGTGTGGATGTGTGTGCAGGGAGGCAGCGTGCATTCCCCGTGTGTGCTCTATGAGCACACTGGGTCTGCGTGTGCGTCGGTGTGCACGTATGTAACACGGATGCACGCACGTGTGTCGTCAGTGTCACCGGGAGCTCTTTCCCCGGGTGCGGGGGGGGGCAGGAGCCGGGGATGGACCCGTGGGTGCACGGCCCAGGCCGGATCCTGCACCCAGGGCTGCCGGGATATTGGGCCCGGAACAACGTGCAAATTTTCACCCCCGCGGGGATGACGGCACCTTTTTGCCAAAATGCCTTTTTTTTTTTTTTTTTTTTTTTTTTTTTTTTTTTTTTTTTTTTTTTTCTTTTTTTTTTCTTTTTTTGTTTGTTTCCTTTTTTTTTCCCCTTCCCATCTCCTGCCGGCCGTGCCGGTGAAGCCGGGCAGGAGGGGAACAGGAGGCTGAGCTCACACGGAGGGTCCTGGATGACCCTGCTTCTCCTTCTTCTCTCCTCCTGGGGGTCCTGGAAGGTGTCCCTGCTCTGCCCCCCCGGGCTGGGGATGGGCACCCGGCATGGTGGGACCTGGGCAAGGAGCTGGGAGATGGGGTTTAGTGATGGTGGTGCTTTTTGTTTGTTGTGGGGGTGTTTCTTTTTGTCGAAATGAGGTTGAGGGTTGGACAAGATGGTCTTTAAGGTCCGTTCCAACCTAAAAGATTCTGTGATTCGGTGACGGAGGGTGTCACTGGGTGCTGAGCCCTGGGCACAGACGGGCAGTAGCTTCTTCAGGGGCTTCCGTGGTGTCTCCCCGAGGCTGAACGGGACAGCGCTTGCCGGGACACGCAGAAGTCGGATAAGAAATAGGGGACAAGGAGCTCTTCAGGGTGTGGGTGAGTCCCCCCCACAGCAAATCCTTCACTAAAGAGCCCACGGAAGAGCAGCTCTCCCCAGGTGTCAGGAAGTCTCCAGCTGGAGTTGGGCAGGAGGAGGTCCTGGAGGAGGGACAGTCCTGCGTGGCTTTGCGAGACGGGGTCAGCGATGTCTTCTAACCTGGCTTCCTAAGGAAGTGAGGCAAACGTGGCTTGGCTGGCTCTCCCTCTGTCTGTCAGTACTCTCTGCCTCTCTTGGCTGAGCTCAGCCCCTCCTGGCAGAGGAGCGGAGGATACAAACCTATTCTTGTGTTCCACCAAAAAAAAACAAAATAAAAAAAAGGCTGGGTAAAGAGAAACAATCCGGGTTCTGCCTAAGGGAAAGGCTGCAGCCCACCCTCAGCCGTAGTATTAGACATTGGAGAATCCCCACCAGCCTGAGACAGAGGGACTCTTGGTGGCATCTGTGCACGTTGTGGTGGTGATGGGGTGCCCCAGGTCCCAGTGCAGCGGTGGTGGGCTGCAAACTGGGAGTACTGGGTGTTGGAAGGAGCTGATCCCGGGCGCGGGGTGAGCCGGGCAGCGGGGAATATCCAGGAGGAGAGTTACTTTGAGCCCTTGGAGGGATTTAACTCCTTAAATAAAGGCAAGATCTGGGGAAAGTCTGGCTTCTACCCCTTGATGGAGTGTCTCTCTGCTGGAGTGAGGTGGGTGTGTGATCCCCCTCCCGGATTTGGACTCTGATTTAGACACGGCCTGAGGTTTAGTTCTTTTCAGGCAGATTTAACCCTGCAAATCCCAAAGTGACATGAATGAGCCAAGTTGCTGGGACCAGGGAGGTGTTTGGGAGCCGGGTGCTCTTGACCGTGGGGGATGTGGGGCTCCCTCCATCCCTCCCTCCCTCCTCCCGGAGCATCTCTTCATTGTGCAGGGAGTCATTAAATATTCATGGAAGCGGAGTCGGAGCCGCTCCTGGGGCTGCCTGGGGAGGGCTGGTGGGGGCTGCTCCGAGCCCCCTCTCCCCGGGATGTCTGACGGGAGATGTTGACACAGTGATTAGAGCAGGGACTGAGCCCCAAGCTCCCTGCTCCCCCCCAGGTGCCCTGGAGGCCCGTGGGGAGCCAGGGACCCCCCCCACCCTGTGCTCCGAGATGTTGCTGCGGAGCTCGGAGCTGCTGCTTCCAATCCCGTTGCGGCCAAAGGAGATGAGACGTCTCACATCCCCCTGAGCTGCTAAATTAAAAAGCTGCCGTTTCCCCTCACTGATGCGCTGAAGCTGCCGGGGGAGCATCCCTGTGGGCGAGGGAGGGGGTGCTTTGGGGGATCATCCTGGCACGGGCACTGGGAGCTGCCCCCAGGCTTTCCCAGCAGCGTGGCTGAAGGTGCCAGATGATGGTCACCAGTAAAAGCAGAGGTGACCACGGGCTGCAGCCTCCAGACTGACCCGCCGTCCGAGCAAGGCGTGGGGATGGGGATTTTCAGTGTGAATTTAAGTGTGTTCAGGACATTTTTACATCTCCCATCCCCTCCTCCCAGAGAGCCCGGAGCTGGGACCCTACCGGTGCTGGAGAAGACCCCTGCAGGCCCCCTAATCTCCCCTTGGCAGGAGCAGCTCTGCCGGTGTCATTCCAGACAGACACGTGTCCAACCTGTTCTTAAAAATGTCCTCCTCCACCCTGCCCAGACAGTTTATTTTGGGCTTTGATTCTTCTCGCTGCTAAAAACATGTTTCTAGTGTTTAGCTGATATTTTGCTGATTTTTTTTTTTTTTTGTGTGTCCTGCCTGCCCTGGGGCACGTTGTCACCTTCATCCAGAACTCGTGTCAGGTGGCCACCACAGCCTGGTGGAGGAGATGGCATGGCTGGGTGGAGGGTGCCTGGGGGGACGTGGCATCCCTGGTGGGACGTTGCCCATCTCCCAGCTGGTGGTGTTGCCAGTTGATGATGTCTCACCTCACTCCTGCTCCTCGCTGGGACCTTGTGTGCTTGTTTTCAGGAGGCACGTTTGCAGGGAATCACACCTTTTGCAGCCCTGTCGTGCCCCTCCTTGTGTGTCCTGCCTCTGCTTGGATTTTTCCTGTGGATGGGAAAAAATAAAAAAGACCCCAGAGCTGTGGGCTGCTCCCAAATCTCTTTGATTGGAGCCATTTTTGCTGGGACCAGTAAGATCAGACAACCCCAGCCCCCAAGTTTATGGAACTTAATGGCGGTTTGGGCAGGGAATATGGGACCATGCAGTGGCCGGGCACGCTCTTTTCCAATCCCACCCAGCCCTGAGCACCCAGAACATCATTTTTCTCTCCAGAGATGCCCCTCCTTTGCTCCCCCAGACCCCCCCCCTAACGGCTCCCTCTCTCCCAGGAGGCAGACGGCGGAGGAGCGGGAGGCCGAGCGGCAGCAAGCGAACCGCATCCTCATGCAGCTGCAGCAGGAGGCCTTCCAAAAAACCATCAACCAGCCCATCCAAGCCGACCCCATCTGCGTCCACAACTCCTCTCTCTTCGCCCTCCAGAACCTCCAGCCTTGGTCCGACGACTCCACCAAGATCACCAGCGTCACCACCGTCGCCTCCGCTTGCGAATGAGGCTGGTACCCACCGGTGGGGCTGTCCCTGGTGGAACACGTGGCCATCCCTCTTTGTCCCTGGGGAAGACTGGCACCCCACGGTCCTCCAGCCACGTGCCCAACTGGGGAAACCCTCCATGAGGACCAAAAAGGAAGGGGAACCACCCCAAAAACTCTCCCCAGCGGTGGGGTTGCTGGACCAGCGGTGGTGTCTCGCCTTCCCCCACCTCCAACCCCAGCCCTTTTGTTCTCTTGAAAGTCTCCGGAGCAGACGGTGAACTTGCTGACGTGCTGGCAGACAAAAAAAAACCCAACCCTGACAGACACGGCCGTCGGAGAGAAAACTTCCTTCAGATCCTGCTGGTGGCAGTGGAAATCATGGGGTCACCCCTATATATATCTCCATATATATATATATATATTAAAAAAATGTGTATATATATATGTGGATACTTTGGACTGGTGGCTTGAAACAAAAGGAGGAGGTTCCCTGGAAAGCTCGTCTCTGCCGTGAGCCTCCTCGGGCCGTCGGCGCCGGAGACGTTCGGGGACGCAACAAATGGAGGAGGAAATTTCTTCTTGTGCCAGATGGGAACCCTTCGGATCTCACCTCGCCAGCTCTCCTCCCCTTTTTCATTAATTTTTTCTTGCGAGGAGAAGGCGGGGGGGGGGTTTGTAAGAGAAGGATCTGACAGACTCCTGAGGACGGTAAATATGATATCTCAATTGTATGAAGAGCCCAAACTGTCCCCCGGCTGCCACGGACTCCGTGCCCATCAGCGTGTGTTTTAATAACGAGAAGACCTTGGTGGCAGTTGGCGGGGGTAATGCGGGTTCCTTGCTGTGGGTTATTTCCATATCATTTGCAAAATGTTGTCCAATGTTTTATTTTACCCGTTTCCCTTTAGAAGGCGATTCCTGATGGCGAAAAATCGATTTCACTCTCGACCGTTTCACTTAGTTGTTTCTTTAATTGTACTGAGGGAATGAGACACAATTAAACAAAGCACTTCTTATAGCAAATGCCAGGAATATATAGATATATATATATACAGTATATATTTTTCAGTTACTTATAATCTAAGACAGCACTGCCAATTTAAGCAGCTAGTACAAACGAGCAATCAGAAAACCTATTTTCAGTGAGATTTTTAAAGGCATTCATTCATTTGGGTTTTGTTTTTTTTTTTTAAGTTATGCACTTATAAGGTGTTTTATGTGTATTCATTTTATAAAGTGCTTGTGTAATTTATGTGGAAACGAAAAAGAAAATAAAAAGAAAAATCTCCAGGGTACTGAATAAATCATTTAAAGCCTTGCTCTTCCCCGTCTATTAGTTCCCTGAGAGGAGACAGCGTGTCACAGCTAATGCTGAAGCCTCCCCCCATTTGTTTGAAATAAAAATAGAGTTAGTGTTTCCGTTTGGCTTCGCTCAGGTCCACTTTGCTTTGGAAGATCCAGAGGTTAATTTGCTATATTTTAATCTTTGTAAATGTTTTCAGGCTTCGACCCAGCAGTGCATTTAGCATCTGCTTCCACGGAAGGCTTTCTGGGGGTGGCAGGAATTGTGCAGGGGCTTCACCTTAATCACGTGTTGAATAATTTCTTCAATTAAGACCTTGGAGCGGGGTCTCACCTGGGCTGGGGGAGTCTAGAGATATTAGTGTCTGAAACTTTATTATATAAAGCAGTGTTTGGATATAAAGAAATTTACAAAGGAACATTGTAGAGACCACCTTACAGGGAATTATTCTCAGGATCCTGTTTTCCGTTCATGCTCAGCGTTGCTCAGGGACATTGTCCCCAGCTGGGCAAGCCTTTTTCCGAGGAAAATCAAACTGGTAGGAAAACACCCATGGGCTTCCTTGGGGGAGATTCCCAGCCGTAGGGCCAGGAAAGCTGCGTTGCCTTCAGCCTGGTGTTTCTTCCAGAGCCAGGAATTGCCTGGTAAAGGATGTTGGAGGAGAGGATGGAAGAGGGAGCCCAGCCACGAGGTGCTGGCAGGGACCCCCGAGGAGCCAGGATGTCCCGTGGGATGTGTGTGACAAAATACCCCGAGTTTTTGGTAGCTGGTGGGTGATGGTGCTCCGGGAAGCGGGGTCCTCGGGGTGCAGGGGTGCTGGGAGCTTGTTGGGGAAGCCTATGTATAGCCTGCTTCAGCCTAAAGCCATTTTTGGGGGATTTTTATGGAAATTCATGGTGCTGCGGGATTTTCCTGTCCTGCAGCCCAACACTCGAGAGGACACAGAGAAACAACTGCAGCGACGGAGAAGCCAGGAAAGAGAAAAACCTGATCACCCACCCCCTCCCCCCAAAAAAACACCACCAAAAAAAACCCCATCAGGGAAATAAATACAGAAAGCACACATTTTTTTGTGATACGTTTAAAAGATATTCCCTGAAAACTGCTAAAATAAAATACCTTGTATTTTTTCCCCAGATAAATTTCACAGAAGTCTTTTGTTTGCGTTCTGTTTCATACCCCAGGCAGATTTTTAGGAGTTGATTAAGCTAATTAATAGGGGCTCAACTTTAACTACAAAGATAATACCAGGGTTAGGGCTGACTCCTTCAGGAGGCATCGCTGTGTACAAATCTTTAATGGTTTACAGTTTGTTGCAGTGTTTTTGTTTTCAAGGTGCAAGGTTTCTGTGTAGGGAAAAAAAAGCGCACCAACCACAAAATAGTAATAATAATAAAAAAGGATGACGGAGCTCACTGTTGATATTAAAGTGTTTTCTATTTTATTATTATGACACATCAATATCTTAAAATTTAATTCCAAGACAGCCATTTTATAATATCCACATTATTCAGTTCATATTCCAAAATGTTCCCCAGCGAAGTTGAGTGTATGATAATGCACATTCCAGGGCATGTGTTTAGATAGAATATTTAGCTACACCTTGTTCTTGAAACTGTTGACTTCCTCCTTTTCTTATCAATCTCCCCTGTTAAAAAAAAAAAAAAAAAGACCAAAGGAAAAAAACAAAAAGGAAATCTTGATACGAAATTACAATACGAGGAACATTGGAACCAGAAAAAATAGTCGTCTGATTTTTCTTGTCGCTGGAACAATTGCTTCTGCAAGGGGTTTCTCTTAAAATATTTCTCCAGGATTCATTTTAAAAATTGGTTTAGTGACAGGAGGTGTTTTTGATATCTGCATATGTGCTTCCTGTTATGGATATGACGATCTCTACCTAGACAATAAAAGTTGCCTGAAATATGATGGAATTAAATCAATAAGCAATGACACGAAACGATGACACGTAATGATAGGTTTTGTAGACTGACATCACCTCAGCCCTATCCTGGGGCCATCCATACCTCGGTGAGGGCTAGTACTGGGTCACACACCGAGTGCATGCTCTTTATTTAAATTTCCTCATTATACCTAGTTGGGAAGAGGAACAAAAATGCATTAAGACCCCCTGAAAGTCGTTTCTCCCTTCCCTCCATCTCAAAATACAGCCGATCCCAAATGTGAAATGGGAGTTGGGAAGGGAGGTTTTTGCACTCTTTGCCTGTATCTAGGAAATACAGACCAAAGGAGAAGAAGAACTTGGGCTGGAGGTGGGGGGAACCCACAGTCAAGGGCATGGGGCATGGCAGGAGAAGGTGGCCAGATGCCTCCATCGCCCTCAACGCTGCCAGGGACCAAGAGCTATCGATCGTGTTGGGTTGGCCATAGATGTGCTGAGTTTGGAAAGGCAAAAATTTGAGGGGGGCAAGGGTGGAGGGGAGGTGGGGGGGGGGAAAGCACGGTCGTTGTATGAGCAAGGGGAGTATTAAACATCTGTGTGGAGCTGGAAGAGACAAAGGCCATCTGTGCGGGCTGCGGTTGTCTGGGTTTGGGTCCCAGCTCAGCAAACTATGTGGGCAGGAGGGAGCCAGAGGTCTGGCCCCCATTTAGCCAATTAGTTGAGCACATGAGTCATCCAAAGGAGGATCAGTCGGTTGGTCTCTGTGGAGGGATGGGCTCAGAGAAACGCTGAAGGGTCTTTGCTGGAGCCTCCCCCCTCCAACGGAGCCGGCCGTTGAGCTTTCTCCTGGGCACGGGGTGGCACGTTTGGCCCCTGGCAGGGGGTGAGTGCCCCAGTTTCTGTGCGAGTAGTTGTAAAAACCACAGGTAGGTTGTTCTTGGGCTGCATCATCCCATCTATGGGTCAGTTGTTGTACGTTCAATGTTATTTTTCCTGTCGTAGCAGCATCTACGAGAGTCACCTGCACGTGGTGTTTGCTGGGGGGGAGTCCGTGTCCTCCGATAGGGTTCGTATAATTAATAATAAAGAGAGGTTCTGACCCCATGAACACCCATATAGAGGCTGTGCTCCTAATTAACCAGCCCATGGCAAAAAAAAAAAAAAAAAGACTTAAAATCAGGGCTGCTGAGTCGGCACGGCGTCAGCGAGAGCCCACCCCCACGGGAGGCAGCCCCCTCCTCACCACCCGGGACGGCGTCCGTGCAGCCGTGGGCTAGAGGGAGTACAGAACACAAGCCAATTTACGGAAAAAACCAAAAACGGCTTTGCTGAAAACTGTTTGGGTTACAGTAAAAAAAAAAAAAAAGGCAGCCCTGTCTGGGGGTTCTGGGACAGCTGGAACTTTTTGAATTAATCATTTTTCTTTTTTTTTTTCTTTTTTTTTTTCCTGACTGGCTGAGCGACACTGATTTCTTTGTGCAACAGAGAAATCTTCAGCGGCCACTTGTTTTAAAAAAAAAAAAACAAAACGTTTTGTGAAATGAGATTTGGAATTATCAAAATATCCCGGGTGGAAATTTTCTAAATGAAAAGGTCTTCATTGGTGAAGAAAAATTATCTTTTATTTTTTTTTAAAACAAATAATAAGGGGAGAAGAAAAGCACACAAAGCTATAGATTATCACAACAAGCTTCTGCTGGAGTCAAAGCAGATTGCTCCTGTTTTTGCAAATCTTTGTTTGATTTTTATTTTTTGTTTCAATTAGTATTATTTTTGCCTTTGTCATAGTAGGAAATTTCTGTTTGATGCGTCG